CCTTTAACTCTGCGACTCCCTGTCGATTTGGCTAAAAAACAATCCCATCCTTCCTTATGGGATTCTTTACCACCCTGCCGAATTTTATGGCAATGCGTTTAAAAATGCGGCCGCTAGAGAATCTACCTAAAATTCAACATCAACTTACAGGTTTCTTGATATCGAACCCAGAGTTCGAAGTATCGAACCGGGAGGAAAGCCCAAGCGTGACGAGTTTAAACGAAACTGATTTAATTAGGGGAAGGTTTATCAGAGGTAACAGATCAAGGTTTTATAATTCTGAAATATAAGCCTCTTCGCTTAATTAAGGCTAAACTAAGACATATTACATATAACACATAACATCTTCACTTGGCTCCAGGGCAGGGGAGTAATTCCCCTTTTACACCCCCTTGGATCCGCCACTGCTTCCAGGGATATCTTAAATAAACGCAAACTAAATGTAAATCCGGGATTATTATTAAAAAATAATGTTTTGCTCTACTTTAAGCACAAAGAAATTTGTAATAGTAATTTTTAATAATTGATTTTACTGTCTAATTTCGTGGTTAAAATCGGTGTAATTTAACTAAGAGCTGGATATGCTCCTGACTATCGAGTGAACGGCGCAATTAGGAAGACAAGGTTTCGATTAAGTGCTCAATCTTAGACAATGTCATATAATATTAACTGTTAAGTTACCAACCAATCCAAACAAACAGGATCTGACGTCTGTTATACCCTTACTCAACCTAATAAACATTTGGAGCGTAGCAACAGTTTAATTTATTATTTGGAGATCGTGGGTGGGGTCTGGTGTGACTTAGGTTTTAGAAAACATTTTCTTTATCTTGCCAACGTTTCTGTCTTTACTAAGATCATCTTCAGGGCCTGGGATTTATAAACATTGTGAAAAAAATGAATTTATATATAGAAAATTTTAGATTCAATCAAAGTATTTGTACTCACTCAAAGTGTTCATTACTTTGCTTGAATATAACATTTTGTACCATTGTATAAATTAATTTTTTTAATCTAAAATTTGCTAGCATTGTATAATCCTTTTTTCACCTGAAATTTTCTAGCATTGTATAAATTCATTTTATTTATGTTATCTAAAATTTCTAGCATTGTATAAATTCATTTTTACATATCCTACATGTATTTGTAAGATTTAAACAATGTTTGTAAATCCCAGGCCCTGAGGATGATCTCAATAAAGATCGAAACGTGTGGTGATTAGTGACCGTTAATCGATAATTATTCAGAATCGTGAGATGCGGTCTGGTGTGACGTAGGTTTTAGAAAAATATTTTCTTTACCGTGCTACGTTTCGACCTTTATTGAGATCATCTTCAGGGCCTGGGATTTATAAACATTGTTTAAATTTTACAAATGCATATAGGATATGAAAAAGATGAATTTATACAATGCTAGAAAATTTTAGATTAAAAAAATGAACTTACACAATGCTAGCAAATTTTAGATTAAAAAAATGAATTTATACAATGCTAGAAAATTCATTTTTTTCACCTGAAATTTTCTAGCATTGTATAAATTCATTTTATTTATGTTATCTAAAATTTCTAGCATTGTATAAATTCATTTATACACATCCTACAAATATTTGTAAAAATTAAACAATGTTTGTAAATCCCAGGCCCTGAAGATGATCTCAATAAAGATCGAAATGTGTGTTGATTAGTGACCGTTAGTCAATGATTATTCGAAGATCGTGAGATGCAGTCTGGTGTGACGTAGGTTTTAGAAAAACATTTTCTTTTTAGTGCAAACGTTCGATCTTTATTGAGATCATCTTCAGGGCCTGGAATTTATAAACATTGTTTACATTTTACAAATACATGTAGGATGTGAAAAAAATGAATTTATACATTGCTAGAAAATTTTAGATTCAATCAAAGTATTTGTACTCTTTCAAAGTGTTCATTACTTTGATTGAATATAAAATTTTGTAGCATTGTATAAATTTCTTTTTTTAATCTAAAATTTTCAAGCATTTTATAAATTCATTTTTTAAATTTAAAATTTTCTAGCATTGTATAAATTCATTTTTACATATCCTACATGTATTTGTAAAATTTAAACAATGTTTTTAAATCCCAGGCCCTGAAGATGATCTTAATAAAGATCGAAACGTGTGTTGATTAGTGACCGTTAGTCAGTGATTATTCCGAGATCGTGAGATGCAGTCTGGTGTGACGTAGGTTTTAGAAAAAATTTTCTTTTTAGTGCCAACGTTTCGATCTTTATTGAAATCATCTTCAGGGCCTGGGATTTATAAACATTGTTTACATTTTATAAATACATGTAGGATGTGAAAAAAATGAATTTATATATTGCTAGAAAATTTTAGATTAAAAAATTAATTTTCTAGCATTGTATAAATTCCTTTTTTTAATCTAAAATTTTCTAGCATTGTATAAATTCATTTTTTTAATCTAAAATTTTGTATCATTGTATAAATTGATTTTATTTATGTTATCTAAAATTTCTAGCATTGTATAAATTCATTTTATCACATCCCACATGTATTTCTAAAATTTAAATAATGTTTATAAATCCCAGGCCCTGAAGATGATCTCAATAAAGATCGAAACGTTGGCACTAAAAAGAAAATGTTCTTCTAAAACACCAGACCGAACATGATCTCCAAACAATCATTGGATAACAGTCACTAAACATCACACACAAAAGTTTAATTTATATCGAAAATAGTGCAAAATTTTACGATTAGAATTGACTTGATTGGTGAGTAAACCTTGAGACAAAGAAAAACTAAAACTTCGATATGTGGACTTGAAAGAGAATGCGAGAATACTCTGAGTTTACGATTTGACCTTATTGAACTTTCCCTACTATCTCAGATACGTCATGGTCCGCATTGTTTAGCAACTTCCGCGTCTCACCGTTTAAGGGAAAATGAATAGATTAATCGGTCCTAAGATAAATACCACTGTACCGTGTACAATAATTACGAAATTGAGCGAAACAAATTGGGAAATGTGGGTGATCTGCGTGAATGGGCCTGAGACTCTTCCTGTACAGAAATAGAGAATAGAAAGGGTCACGGGCCTTACAGAGCCAAGGACTGAATTCCGACCGACTAGTCAACCGTGGAGAAACTGACATAAGGTTTAAATATAATTTGCTTCCTTTGGAAAGGCCAGGGTGCATTCTTGACTTTGTGATCTCCCTCGTAATCGAATTCCATCAACAAATTACTCACACAGAAAGCAGGCGTGATTAATAGACCATTTGTGCCTGTTAAAACTGGTAATGACTGTGGTCTATTGAATTAATTTTTTGTTTTAGTGGTTCAAAAATAAAGTGAAAAAGCTGCTTAAGTGTATTTAAGATATAACAGATGCAAATAAATCCAATCCTTTGATCTACACACTCTCATAACTCCATCATAGATCTTATCCATTTAAAAACGTCTTCACATCATAATTTTTTAACGTTTATTCACAATAAACTAGAGCTTATAAAGATCCCACAATTTTTTAATTAGAATTTTAAATCTGCCCACTGTGCGTTAACAACATACATCGTTTAAAAATAAATTTTATTAGGCCAATCGCAATTCAATTAAAAAATTAGGTAATTTTTTCTCACAATAATCTTTACGTCCAATGTAACGGAAATAGAGCCAGCCGAGTTTATAGTACTTTCACGAATGGAATTACCGAAGAAAATTGTATATGCGCAAATCTGGTCACGTATTTGACCCGTCATCAATACTGACGAAACGTGTCAAATGATTTAGTCCTTACCTGGAAAAATGTAAATTGTGATACAGTTGATAACTTTATTTTATTAACATTTCCATTTACGATTGTGTAAAATCAATTGATGTATTAATTATTTTAGATTAATACACATTTGTGCAGATTTTGACAATCGGCATAAAAAATAAAATAAAATCCATTATATTTAGTGGTCTATTGACCAGATCTGAGTTGATAAAGGGATAAGATCTGATCACTTGAGTATAGCAGCGATACCTGACCACTAGAGTAGCGGCGTATTGAGCCGAAGGTCGTGGGTTCGAATCCCGCTCGTGACACTGACTTTTTCATTTCAACCAAAACCTTACGTAAAAAGATTAATAAAATAAAAGTGAATGACGACAAAAACCCAAATCTCGAATCGCTGATTTATAGAACTTTCATTAAATTATACAAAATTAATAAAATATTTGCAATTAAAAATGTCAAAAGAATTTCTACGATTAGTAATCTACAATAGAGATACCAATCTATTTGGAGATAGGAAATAAAAAATAAACGCGATGAAAGTTTATTCTTTCTTGTTAGATGTTACATGAATTTATTTGCTCATAGTTTTGAGGGAAATATTTACAATAAATCTTCAAAGTAACGAATAAAAAATTTACCAATTTTTGATTAGCTTTAAGTGTCATTATTATGATAATGTCGGTAATTTCTAGTCAGGAATTTGCTAAGCAATGAATTCAATTAATGTTCCTGCTGGTGATTTCTTTTTCTCATTGATTATAAAATGAAGTTACTGTGGTGAAATTCTAAAACTAATGAGACAGCAAATGGACACATGGGAGTATCTACGTTTGTACATATACATTATAAAAAATATTAAACTAGCTTAAATGCACACCTGATATAAAAAATGCAAATAGAAAAACAGGTTTAATATTGTATACTACACGAATTTGTAATATTAATGAAATCAATGCCCACTTCAAATTTATAATAATAATATCTATATTTATGCATTCCCTAAAGAGTGAGAGAGAAAGAGAGGAAAAGAGAAAGAGAACGATAGTGAAGGGAAAGAGAATAAAAAAATATTGGTGGGGATACGTGACAAACATAAGTAGAAAGAGAGAGAGGGAAAGAGCGCGAGCGAGAGAATAAGAAAGTAATGGAGAGATAGGGAGTGATGGAGGAAGAGAAAGATAGAGAGAGATGCGGAGAATGAAATATAGGAAAATAATTTTTTTTGTGTTAATAATTCTTGAATAAAAAAATAATTGTTCTCGCTATATATAATCTGGATTCCGGTACCGTTTCAAAGAAGAAACAATTTCAATTGTTCTGTTACGCTTTCGACCTATTTTGTGGCCATCATCGGGGCAAACCAATGTCCTTAATTTATATTGCCACAATTAAGGTTTGAATGAGAGATTTCAAATTTCTTTAAATATGTTCTCAGCCCCACATTGCCAAGGACTGAAACCCTGAAACCGAAAGTAGGCAAATAAAAATTCAATTTTTTTTCATTCAGGCCGATATCTTATTATTCGTAGTCATCCTAATCTCTTAATGCCTACAGGGAGTTCTGAGTTCTAAGTATTATTTGGTTTTGAGAGGGAGAAGAGAAAAAAAATAGAGGTATAAGTGACAAACATAATTACAGGAAGAAAGATAGATACTTACATAGATAAATAATAGATTGATAGATAGCAAGATAGATGGATATATGTATATATATGTGTGGAAAGATGCATGTACAGCAATGACGTCGACCCCCGGACTGAAGTGACGTATGGAGGAGGGGGATGGCGTTTTGTGACAGAAAGAAGAGAAGGAAGAGTTTGTATTGTTTTTTGTATTAAGACGTTTAATTGTAATCCTTATGTCGATGTGTTAATTACAGTATTTCACTCCACGATTGCCTTGTCATTTCGAGCACCTAATTCCACAAACTGGGGGGCCGCTCCAGCTCGAAACAGGCAAACGTTCGGAAGTGACTGTTTTTTTTCCGGTTGTGATTTTTCCGTATTGTGACTTTCACGATTGTGACAAAATGCCGAAGACTCAAAGACGGGCAAACCGCCGCTATCAAGACGCCGACGAGGACGAGGAAATACAGGAGAAGCTGAATAATAAGGTGACAGAACTGGAACAGCGGGAGCTCGAACTCCTCAGGAAGGAAAATGCCGCGTTACGACGATCGAACACAGGTACGAATTTTTCTTTTAAAGACGTGCAAGACAGCCTGTATTCTTTTTCCGGTGACGACCAGCTTTCGATTGATGTCGAATGTGGGAAGATGCATGTACAGCAATGACGTCACCCCTGGACTGAAGTGACGTATGTTGGAGGGGAGATGGCGGTCAGAAGGTTTTGGGACAGAAAGAAGAGAAGGAAGAAGGATGTAGTTTGTATTGTTTTTTGTATTAAGACGTTTAATTGTGATCCTTATCTTGTGTTAATTACAGTATTTCACTCCACGATTGCCTCGTCATTTCGAGCACCTACTAATAACACACACACATATATATATATATATATATANTAAATAGATAGATAGATAGTGAGAGACAGTCAGTGAGGCAGACAGACAGAAAAAAGAAGGATAGAGAAAGGGATAAAGAGAGATTGAAGAGAGAAGGAGAAGAGTGGGAAGAAAAAGAGAGAAAGACAAGAAAAAGAGAGGAGAGGGAGAATGGAAAGAGAAGGAAGTAAAAGAGAAAAAGAAGAGAGAGAGTGCGAACAAAAAGAGAGAGAGAAAAGAAAAAGTGAGGAGAGAGAGAGAGAGATTGGAAAGAGAGGGAAGAAAAACAGAGAAAGAAGAGACAGAGAACGAGCGAGAAGAGAAAGGAGTGAACGAGTGGAAAGAGGGAAAGAAGAGAGAAAGCGATGAGAAAGAGTGAAGAGAAGAAGATAGAAAAAGAATGGAAAGAGAAGAAAGAAAAAGAGAAAAAGAAGAGAGAAGAGAGAGCGCGAAGAGAAAGAGAGGGAGAGAAGAGAGATAATTGAAAGATAGGGAAGAGAGAGAGAGAGAGAGAGAGAGAGAGAGATTGAGCAGAGAGAGAGAGATTGAGGAGAGAGAGAGAGAGAGTGATGCAGAGAATGAAATAGAGGAAAATAGTTTTTGTTGATGGTTAATATTTCTTGAATAACAAAAATAATTGTTACTTTAAAAAATTTACAACATTTATAGTAATATTCGTGAAGGTAAGTACACATTATAAATTTTTCTTCAAATACTTATTTGGACAATGGAAATATAAAATTAAAAATTATGGCATTCGCGTCGAGAAAACCATTGTTGTTTGGGCGTCCAAGATCCCGTTGTATAGCCCATTTCTTGAACTTAAGACGAAATAAATACGTTTCTACCTAATAAAACCATAATCGTAACTACGCCCGGTGGCATAAGAATGGGAAATATTTTATAAAAATCTCAGCCTGGTTTAAATTCCGGAGCTTTTCGGAGTATACAATAGCACCGTGGGAAGATTGACAATCATCCAGATCCAAAAGTTCTCGCTAATCTTCTTGGATTTATTTTTTTATACTGGAAGAAAGGAAGATAGAGTACGGGCGACAAATAAAACGTGAATCAACCGGGTGAAAAAATCCCATCCTTATCGGGACAAACCAAAGGCCCCCGGCCTCCATTGTCCGCCTGACGCCCCATTAAGCGAGTTATTCAGGGAAAGGGATTCGACGATCCGGCCGAATGAAACAATTTCTCCCTCACCGATAATTCAAAAAGTGCAATGCTCTATATTACAGAGCGGCGGCAGTTCGAGCGAGACGAAACGCACCTTCGGTGGTGGCGCAAGGTTCTAAGATTTCATATTTCAAATGTGTGGCACAATGATTGAAACCAAATAAATAAAATTAGCATAGTTTCAGAAAAGGTTTCATTTAACTTTCTTCGCCCTTGGCCTGAGTATAACTTAAATTCCTCTACTGTGTCCTGTTCGACTAGATTTTCATATATTCACTAAGTCGAATAGAGTTTAAATCCTATGGATAAAATAAAGTTTCCTGTTGTTTTGATTTAAAAAAACATGTAAGTCTTAAACGTGATTTATGGACAAAATCGATTAGTTTTCAAGTTCCTACTTCGCAAAATATAAATTATTTATGACAATATAGCATAAAAAGTAAATGTAATATGTCTTGGTTTTGTGGAAAGAGCGTTGATATATTCGAATTCTTCGGACCTCCCTTAATAACCTGCAATATAACTTTAGCGGCCCGGATTTTGTGATTGACTCATCATATCATATTGACGAACTTTCGACATTAAAATGTAAACATTTATACAAAAATTGTAATATTGGAGTGTTACAAAAATGACCTTTTCAGTTTGCTTTTTTCACCCCCTAACAATGACTGTAGAGTACAGATTAATTAAGGCTTTGGTTAGGATAAGAAAGTCAGTGTCACAAGCGGGATTCGAACCCACGACCTTCGGCTAAATACGCCGCTGCTCTACCACTTGATCGATCGTGACTTCGATCCACTCGGACACCAACCTCCCATCTCAACCCCACCTTTTGAATTTTCCCTCCTTTCTGCCATTTTTTAGTGGATGGCCATAATGGATCGAAGTCAGGATAGCTCAAGTGGTAGAGCAGCGGCGTATTTAGCCGAAGGTCGTGGGTTCGAATCCCGCTTGTGACACTGACTTTTTTATATCAACCAAGACCTTACATAAAGATTAATCAATTGAAAGAAGTTATTTGGCCAATCGGACCACAAAAATATAATGGATTATGTACTATTTTAATAATAACTTTTGCAGGCAGCAGTTCTTATAAAAATTATATTTGACAACTGCCATAATTAAGCAATATATAAACTATTGATTTAAAAATAAAATAAGAAATAATTACCAGCCATGGTTTAATGCATAATAATAATATATAATGAACCATCGATTTCCAAAGTTCATGATTTCTCCAATGATTTTCTCAAAAAATGTTCATTTTTTTCATTTCCTTGAATATGCAATTTCTGCATGCTACTTATAGTAGATAACGGCCAAACATTACAGCCAAGTAGCATGGAAACTGATAAATAAGTATTTAATTGTTAATTGTGTTATTAATAAAGTGATGTTGATCAGTTCAACATGTGTCCTACTCGCAGACCAACATAGCACGACTTTAATACAAATATGTTAAACTTAGAATATTTAATAAATCACCACATTTTTTTTGTTTATTTAAGATCGTATCTGGTCCGCCTTATATCGCTATTTTTGCAAAATCAGAGGCATTTCGGTTTAACGTCTTATGAAATAATGACGGTATTTTTCTAAAGTTGCTGACACGTTGCATCATCCCGTGTGAAAATAATTTCGCTTTCTCTAAAGGGAGAAGCAAGACGACGTGACATCATCCAGATTATGGCCAAGGGTACTCCGTGAAATAATTACAGAGTAGGGCGGTCCTGCGGCTTTGATTCGAGTCGACGGCCAGTCCTGCTATCCTTCCTTGAAGTGGCGAACCGATATTATTAAAGGGGTCGGTAGCCGTTTGTCCTTTCGTTTAATTAAATCTGGATCCACGTCTCCTTCCAAGGACGAGATGGAATCGGAGAGAATCGGTCCGTTCTGTTAATATCAATTACAATGGTACTTCACGTAGGCTCTAGATGTACGGCCTACGGGATCGAAATTTGTCGGGACACGTCCTGCCTTAAATTGGGAGAGAAAGACGGCTAAGGTCGTCTGGTGGGCAGTTGACAGACCCAGTAGAAGGAAGTGTGGATTGCCCAATGTCCCAGCCAAAATAACCGATTTCCTGCTCACCTCTTTCCATAAAAGAAAACTATACCAAAGTTTTGTAGAATAAGTTATTTATCTTATAAATTTTTAATAAATAGGGCTGTGATTTATATGTAATAAAAACAGTCAAATATGCACATATATATGTAAATAAAAACGCAATTTAAAACTAAAAATTTGCGAAAGCTACCATGAGAAAAAATAAGGAGACCTCAAATTAAAGCACATAATAGAAATGATAAATGATGGAGTGAGTGTGGTGTTCAATACTTTTTAAACTTGTAGGAACTTTCCTTTTAAAAAGTATTAAAGCACATAATTGTATTGAAAAGAGAAACAGTGGAGTCTCTGATTTTATGGAGTTTTCATTGTATATAAGATCCAGGTGAGATTTCCTGAAGGTACTTCGTGGGAAATGGTTTTCCCTGTGTATTTCTCAAAAAAAAAACTTCAATTCAGGTTGGCTTAGTTTATGGATGGGTATGTCACATGGCTAATGTTAAAAAAGAAAAACGCATTAAAAAAAAGTCAAATTTAAAAAATCTGCCGTCTCATCCATCGAAACCCAGATCGGTCTATTTTCGATTGCTTCTCTGATTTTATGGAGTTTTCATTGTATATAAGATCCAGGTGAGATTTCCTGAAGGTACTTTCGTGGGGAAAGGTTTTGCCTGTGTATTTCTCAAAAAAAAACCTTGAATTCAGGTTGGCTTAGTTTATGGATGGGTATGTCACATGGCTAATGTTAAAAAAGAAAATCGCATTAAAAAAGTCAAATTTAAAAAATCTGCCGTCTCATCCATCGAAACCCAGATCGGTCTATTTTCGATTGCTTCTCTGATTTTATGGAGTGTTTCATTGTACAAGATCCAGGTGAGATTTCCTGAAGGTGCTTTCCTGGGGAATGGTTTTCCCTGTGTATTTCGCAGAAAAAACATTGAATTCAGGGTGGCGTTTATGGATGGGTATGTCAGCTCTAACTAAAGCACGACATAAATCGATATCGAAACCAGACTTTTCAGACCCAGCACTTGTGACAACTTGATCTAAAAAGGTTTGTTGAAACTTAGACTTCCTTGTGTTTTGCTGTCTTTATGTGCTGCCAAAAAAAAAGTGTAGCTGTTGATACAGGTTTATCATAACAAACACAGTATAAAACGTCTGCATCGCCCTTAAAAGTCTCACTGGAAAACTCAGGCACATACTTTTGAACAAGATCTTTCGTCTTTGCGGTAACTTTTGCATTTTAGGAGTAGTCAGTTCACAACACGCAAATAATGTTTCACGATGGAAAAGGCATGAGAGACTGGAAAAAGCTGAGAAGTATGATGTAAGTGGGGAAAGAAGAGAACTGAAGTCGTAATACTTCCATAAATCCGATTAAACTATTCCAAAAGAACACTACAAACACTATTGTTTTCTCCATTTATTCCAAGAGAAACAAAAGCGACCGAAAGTTCGCGGAAAGGGGTGGAGCAGCATGAACAAACACAAACTCGTTCATTATGTGTGGTGTTTAGTGACAGTTAGCCATCATCTTCAGGGCTCAAAGGGTTTGTTTTTCGCGTAGATGTGTCATTCTCGTGTTACTCGCTCTCAACACGAAACAAAAGAATGAAACATCTACACGGAAAACAAATACTTTGAGCCCTGAAGATGATCTCAATAAATATCGAAAC